GGCTGGTATGGTATACTTATGTATCCTTTTTTTTCGGCGATTTTAGCAGCCTAGTTGGTCATATGCTCCTCTACACATCTTGACATCCAGTTTATCCTCCTATCCCTTTGGGGGTGTTTCATAGGCTTCTATCGATCTAATCATACTGTCGAAAGTTCATGCTATCTCTTTACTCAGGAATTTCCAAGTAGGCTTCTGACTCTTCAGTTCCTTAGTTTACTGCGCCTGGTGGTCTTATCGTAGGTTTGCACTGAAGTCTTATGCGACACTGGTTATTAACATTCCTCTATGTATGTGTAATGTTATACTTGGCATAAATGCCCTGAGCTCCTATTCGAGATGGTGTAACTTAAGGTTACAGATACACAAATCCAACCAATCGTCAAGAAACAGTTTGCCATAACACAGGTTAATTTCCAAATTTCATCATAGGTGGGATTTGAACCTTAGACCTGTCACTTGGAGGATGACAACCTAACCACTATGCTAGGATTGCCATCCTCATATATGTCTTTATTAAATAATATATAATTATATATTTTATATATAATAGTCTATTAATAAAAGTACAACTAGTTATATATATAACTTTAGTTATTATCTAATTAAGGCTTTCATCTATAGGTTATCTACTAGATGCTATATCTAAGATCTGCCTCTGAGTCTTTTATTTAAACTTTTTAATTTTCAATATATATTACATATATATGCAATATTTTATATTATTATTGTAGTAATATATTAGATTAGAGCTATCTAATTACTATTTATATCAAAATACTACCTTATTAGATATTACTAAGTATCCATATTCTTTTGAATTTACTTTTGATACAAATTTACTAAGTATAATATTAAGATTATCTCTTAGATTTTATTCAATTTAGTATATTTTATATTCACTAAACTGATATTATTACTAGGGGTATTTAAATTTTAATAAGTTCATTTGTTTTCTATAGTTTCTTTTTATATTCATTGTATTATTTACTAGTATACTTTCTCTTCATTTCTGATATGTTTACTATTTTTCTTATATTGAGTGCCAACTTTCTGTATTAGTAAACTTCTTTTTAAAAATTTTCTTATATACTGATTTTCTATTTATATAAATTTAAACTATAGAGTTTTATATATATTCATATGTTTCTGTAAATTACAAAGTTTTGCCTTCAGCTATAATTGAACTGTTAACCTTGTTTATAAAGAGAAAAGTATCTAGACCATTAGACTATGGGACTCAATTCTTTAAAAAACAAAAATTTAATAGTAAAATTATAGTTTATTTAATAGAAGTTCTAATAAGAAACAAGATGAGAAACAAAAATAAGTAAAAACAAGTATATCTTCTATATAGATAAAGCATTTTATAAAGAAAAAAAAATAGTATAGAAAAGATAGACATTAACTAAGCACAAATTAGCAATAAAGAAAACTGGTCAGAGAAAGAAATAACATTGGAACTCAAAGATTGGTCTTTAGCAATAACAACTAAATTAATAGCAATATGATTAACAATTTTAATTATAGCAAAGAGAAAAAATATAGAGATGCATATAAATAGCCTTATAGCATTAAAAAATATTAATAGAGCATTCAAGAGGTAGGAAATGACAAAGTCCTAAAAATGAAAAATATAATATGAATAATAAATATTGCAGGTTTAGTTAAAAACAAAGATAATAGAATAAGATTAGTTAAAGTTAAAGTTACAATAATGATAAGTAGAATGATAGAGCAGATTTATTTACAAAAAAAAACCAATATATGAAATAACAATATTTACAGAAAAGATTAAGTATGATAAAATAAAGTATTATTTAGAATAAGAAAATGAAAAAATTGATATATCAATAAAACTTTTTTGCAAAGTAGTTATAAATATCAGAATTAGAACCAATTAAAGAGAAACAAATCTAATTTAAATACTAGAATCAAAAACAGTGAATATTTGACATAATTAGTTAAGTTTTTAGAAAAAAATGAACAGAACAAGAGGTATACATTGCATAACAAGAAAACTTAATATAAAATAATAAACAGTCTATCAACATTAGAAAAATTAAATAAAAAATGACCAAAAATATATATAATAACAGACTGTCAAGTATGTCAAAAAGATAAAAAGAAACCTAAATACATTTAACAAGTTGCAGTAGACAAAAAAGTTTGTGAAAGAGAATTCAAAAGATAGCAATAGCAGCAGCATAAAATAATCTTAAAGAAAATAAAAAAGTTAGAATTTCATTTCTAGTACTATATAATATACTATTTGGGAAAATAAAAGCAAAAGAAATTATTAACAAAAAGGCATTAATAAAAAGACTAATTATGAATAAGGTTGGAAAAAGAATCAGTCAAATTCTAAATAAATAAGCAACACAGAAATGCATAGATGTAATGACAATAACAATATGAAATATATTCTATGATCAAGTATAGAGAGTTCAATGTGAAAAAATGCAAAAATGAGAAAAAAAGATTAATATAATAAGCAAAATGAAAAAAGATGCTCAAATAAAAAGAAGGTCAAAAAAGAGAACAGGAAAAGATAAGTTGACAAAGGAAGAAGAGAAGAAAAAGAAAGTAGAAAAAATAAACTGAATAAAGAAAAAAGCTTGAAAGATAATTGATATGCTTGTTACAAAAAGAGAAAGACCTTTTTGGTATGACTTTAAGTAGTTAGATGAGCAATCTATCTTTAACTGAAATAGTGTAACAGATTGCATTTAGGTACCAATAGTATGACTGAGTAATGCTAGACTTGGATATTGGAAAATACTATGTAATTATAAATATATATAATTTCAAGAATCTTAATAAAATACTAGTATAACTGTTTAAGGTTAAAAAATAAAAAAATAAAAAATAAGACCTATTTTATTATTGCTAATACTTTATATTATAGTTTTTTTTTAATTCTAATTATATCTATATTTTTAATACTTCTATATATAAACCTCAATTCTTTTTATTAATACCTTTTAGTAAGTTTTAAATTGTTAAATATTTTGGTAAATATTTATTTTTTCGAATATTATTAACTATATAACCTAAGGTGATCATCACCTCAATGCTATATCTCAAAAACGGAACTAAGAAACAGGGTCAGATATACTAAGTAAAAATGTTCAGAACTTTCTGAAACCTAGTGTACTTATATTTTGAATATTATATCCAACATCTGTCTAAGGTTTTAATTTTTTTGCTATTTTTGTAATGTTTTTTGGTTTTTTTTTGTATCACACAACCAGTGCTCTATTCCTTTACCACAATGTCCTTTAGACAATAATGATGTCTTAAGTGAAAATGATTTTGATCTTATTCTAAACATTGATTTATATAAAAAATACAATTTTAAAAATTTTGCCAATTTTCTTTCTTTTTACCCATATATTTGCATTGTTAAAATATATTCATATATTTAAAATCCTGAACTTTAATTCATATGCAGAATATAGCTATTTAAGTCCCAAGTTTAAAATCATATTATAATATGCATTTAAAGAAGGTTTGCGCTTAGAGGACGTGCACTTAAAAGGGTGTAACTGTATCAATATAATTTTTTTCCCATCCACGTCAGGAAGCAAAACTTATCTTTAGCAATGTAAATGCTCGTAAATAAATCAATGATGGAATATAATAATTCTTTATATACAATCAACCCTGAGTATAACGAACCTCCTATAACAAACACAAATTTTGAAATTTTATAATAGCTTTATATAAAAAACGATAAGAAAACATAGTTGATTTTCTATGACAAACTTTTTTTTCTTCCAGAATTTTTAGTTCGTTATAGAAAGAGTTGTCCATTATTAAAGAGATATTTTGCTGTAATAAGTAGACTATTTTTATAAAGTGTTAAAAAATCATTGAACCTATTATCTTTTTTTCATAGGTTAAATTTCTTTTGAATATGTGGACGTTGTCAATTAAAACATATCGTTGTGAGAACATGGAAATTAAATACGGTAGATTTCTTATAATTTTCTAATACCGGCGGCAACGGATATAAATTTATTTGAGAAAGTTAAGCCATGTATTGACAACGATAAATTATATATATGATTTTTAAGATCTAATTTTTTAAATTTTTAATTTTTTGAGCAGAAATAAAAATTTTAAATGTATAATCTCACAACAACCCATTTTAATTGACAATTCATCATATAATTGCAATATCAAACCTTTTTAACATGTTATATTATTTATAACAATAGTCTACCTGATAACATACAATGGGCAGTTAACAAATTTTCTTCGTTACATAAGTGCCGATATTTTTTGAAACGAAATCAAACTATTTTAATCCACAACTTGTTCTGTCGCTTTGACGGCAGTAGGACTAAGATCGTTTAGTACATAAATTCTGTATATAACGTATAATATATCACCATAAAAAAACCAAATTCCTAAACCAAGGGCAATGACTACAATAAATAGTGGCAATGTAACTATATCAGAATCATTTGATCCGATGTTTGAATATAGAAATGAATACTTTGGAATGTGAAAAGTCTGTAATTGTAAGTATAGTTATATATATAGAGATGGAAATAATTATATAAAAATATTAGAGAGTATAAAAGTAATAAAACTTACCGAAACATTAGAATTACTTGGATGAGCATCAATTGAATCTAATTGTTGAAATAAAAGTTTATCATCTTTCCATTTTGTTCCTTTAATATATTCATGAATCACTAATGATAATTGCATTAAATGTTTGACAAACATCAGTTTTATGAAGTTTATAATAAATTTATTCAAATGGATACAAAATACGTACATTCTTTTGCAGTCAAATTTTTTTTGTTAAAAGTCATGATTATGTGAATAATTTTAAAGATAATACAAGGTCAATAATCATCAATATACAAGAATAGAAAATTAAAACCGTTTTTATGAAAGAGAGGATGCCAGTGTTATTATACCAAATGGAGAAAGCTTGGTGAAACTACTATCCTAAATTTATGCAAAAAATATGCACGATTATTAAAAATGTTTGGGAAACTTTGTTAAATATTCAGCTTATGCATCCCTTATCATTATCGAATATCACGTTTATATCAGTTTAAATAAGGAAATGTTCTGTCAGAACCCGTAAATTTTCTGTTAGGGTTCTTGAATGGACAATCGTAGGAAAGCATTCATGTGATTGGTTAATTTATGTCGATCTACTCATGACTATTAACCAATCAAATAAAAATAAATTCATCAAAATAATGTATATCGATATTTTTCCGGCATTTTTTTTTACTACTCTGAACATTATTTTCTTGTTTTTTTTTTGCCTCATCGGGCAGATCCGAGAAAATAAAAATAAGAAAAACACCTGGCTTTAGCCTATCCGAATTTAGTGGAATATAAGAGACTCCCAGTCTATTGACAGGTAATTTACAAGTTATACATATATACAGGTATACTGTAAACAAGCAGGAATCCACCAGTTACCATTATTCGTTACTATACCGTACCCGGGTAACTTTATCACATGATTGTAAGTGGCGGTACTGGGTAGTTAAAAAAAAACGATTCCTGAAGTATTAACGTTAAATTAAAAAGTTTTGGTGATGAAATTTTCTATATCGATATGAGTGTAATTGTATTTAATGCATGATCAAAGTTACAGGTTTTCATCTTGCAACACTCGTTTAGTGCTTGATTTTTTTTTTAACTATAGCCACTTACGTACACGGTACGTACATAAGTATATAGTCATTTCTTTTTTTGCTTGTATCACTTGCGCAATAAGTAAATAACCCACTTGATTACGTCAGATACATCTGTTACACTAAAAAGGTTGATATAAAAAAATCGGGTCAACAGTATCTGTGCGTTCGTACGTATATCGATATATTTGATGTCAGAAATGTACGAATTCGAATTCATCACAGGTCACAAATGTTTTAATCATTACTAATGCTTTAATCATTACTAAGAGTTTAGATGTTTAAAGACTAATTTTTAATAAATACAAACATCTCATTAATTGAAAATAAATCTAGAAAAAGGCATGAGTATGATAGAACTCATGAAAGAAAATACTGTCGAAAAACAAAAGGGGATAAGTAAAAACCTCTGGCAGGAGATCAACGCTAAAAATTCAGCGGTTTTTAAACTTGATGTTTAAAAATTGAGACGATTATTTCGAAAAACCTTATTAATAATTTTTTTTACTTTTTGTTAGATTATATCTGCTTATGAGGAAATTAGCAGAGCATATAAAAGAGCTGAAACAGTAACAAATCAATTGAAGACACTTTTACCTGCCAATACAAACGTTGTAATTCCACATGAATCTTCAGGAATTAATGTCGTTCAACCACCAGCACCAATAATTAGAACAGAAAATATGGACTCAAGTCAACGGAAACTTATCATTATTAAATCTTTGATGGTGCGTTCTAAGAATAACATCTGGAAAGAAAAAAATGAAAATCCAATGTTCATATATATATATCTTTTACATAGGTTATATCTGCTTATGAGGAAATTCGTCAAGCGCATAAGAAGGTGGGAATTGCAATAGAACAATTAAGAGCTATTTTGCCTACGAACGAATGTAGTATAGCACCACAAATTTCAACAGAGAATGATTCAAATTGCTCGAGTATATCCCGGCCAACAATCGATGAATTGTCATCGGACTGGTCATTTATTAGCGATGAGTTATCAATTAGCGAAGAATAAGTTCTAAAAACCTTTAGATTCTAAATTAAAAACCCAAGAACCAGGTTTTTTATAATAAAAAGTTCCAAACCTAAGTTAAATCTGGTTTGATTCAGAATCGAATTTTAGAATCTGGTCTTCAATATTTTGTAAGACATTGAAAATAAAAAAAAAGATGTTAATAAAAAGTTACTTAAATTCATATCAACCTTTTAGAATATCTTTACTTATCGTATAGTGTAGACTAAAAGACTCCCCTAGTATAACACCCCTTACAACTTTAGAGGCTAAAATGTATATTGAATCAATAGTTATAATTGAAAGTCCAATGACAGGGTTCCCTCGGCGATACTCATATTTTGCAAACTATATTTCCTACGCTAACTAGCATTCCTCTGACCATTAATGCTTATATATGTCCACACTATACGATAATATTATGATGTTTGATTTGTTTAATAAATATTTGATTTTTATGAGGTAAAAGGGATAATATTTGTGGAGTGGATAAAGTGATAGATCATACAATATCGAAGTTAACATAAGGCCTATCAAATAGAGTCTAATGATTTTCATATCATGCAAGTTGTCTCACCAAGATGAACGAAGAATATAAAAACGTTCGATTCTAATCACTGAATTACAAAATAATCATATAAATGACCTTTTTATTAATATAAAGCGAGTAGATACTTATCTCCCAAACGATAAAATTATTTGACACTAATAAATGTTATGCAAACACAAGTTGCTTTTCTGCAAATAAATGTTTGCACCTATAGTTAGAAATCAATTTTATCTTGCAATTCCTTTAGTTAGGGCGTTGCTATTCATACCTGCTGAATAACTAATTGTTATTGTAATATAATCAATCATTCAATTTCATACTTTAATCATGATATTATTTATGCGAAGACTATATCCTGTTTTGTTCTAGTCATGCAACAATTGGTTAAATAATATTTTACATGGGTAAGGGGATATAAATAGCAATTTCCTTTATTTATACACCAAAAAATAACTCAATTGTATTATTACTATGAATATTAAAGACTTCAGATATTTAGTTGATCTAAAAATTTGAATTAATGGATTTTTTAAATTAGGCCATGCACCATGTGCGTTATTTCGAATTTTGGCCCGAATTAAGCTTAGTTTAGGCCAAAATTCGAAATTACACCCTTGCGCATAAATAACTATAGACTAAATTTGTAAAGTAAAAATCACGTGATGCATATAAATTATTACCTAATGAAATAGTGATTTAGTGACTTGATTGATTCAGTCGACCGAACATTTCCTTATTGCAAGATATTTAATCAATGGTTAAGTCGATTAAGCTAATGATTTTGACTAAATTAATTGACTAGACCTTATCGACCAAACAACCTAGCATCTCTTGTAAATATAATATATTATAAATAATGGTAAAATGAGAGATCAATTGGTTTTTAAATTGGTTACTATCATGCATGTTGACAAGAGTTAACGGATCGAAAAGAAAGGGAAGAACTGGTCAGGGTTACACGCCACGTGCTACAACCCCGCACTCAGATCATGGGGCAAAGAACGAATCAATCAGTTAAATTGCATGAATCAACACGCAACCAGACACACATAATAGAAAAGCCACCTACTACAATTGATATATAAATAACCGAAAACAAGATGTCGACTCCCTTTCCCACTTTGGCACATTAGTCTTCGGCAAACAAATTTCTCGACCCAACCTCTCCCGCCACACACTGTAGCCTCCATTTCTTATTTAACAGCCGGCCTGCTTCGAGCAGGCGGGAAATCGCTGGCTGATACTGCTTCTACTGTTACGATGATACCTGGTGCAATCTCACTTGCTAATTTTCTGGGATCATATCATAGTTTCAGTTCGATTTACTTAGCTAAAATTACTCATAATGTCATAATGTATTCTGCGGACTTCATGCCTTTAATTGAATTTATTTTGGCTAGCCGGCATTCATCAAATTACATAACCAGTCGTACCGATTCTTTTCGTATATAAAATGTGACGTCGCGACATTTTTTCTATGGGTCTGTTTGATCGACTAACCCTAAACGAGTATCGCATTTTTTTTTTTTTTCCGATTGGCACTTAATGTTTATAATAGGCTTGACCGACTTAGTTGACTAAACAATTCTGGGACTATTATTCATGATAAATTTTATAAATTAATGAATATTGTCACGAAAAAGATTACGTCTGAATAAATTATCAATAATAATCGTAACTTGTGTGATCTGGTTAATTTTTTTTTATGTTGCACATCGGGTGAAGGATCAATCGACGGTTCAGATGACGTTGCAATGTGTGCATCTAGTCAATCACTCTTTACATTAATTAACTTCAGTACATGATGAATAGACTAGGAAAATCACCGTTTGAAAGTAACAAAGTCAAATGGTGGTTCCAAAATACAGAAATAGGATATAATAATTTTTTTGATCCGATAGTATCCAAAGAATAATTCAAACTTGGTCATCAAAAGAACTCGAGTCATTCTGTTGGTTCGGTCGCGCAAGCAGCCAAAGCAAGCAGCCGGATAGTGAATTATTTTACAAATAATTCCGTTATTGGCTGCTTTGCATCCAATAGTTCTATATTATCCGAAATAAGTTGTAAATTAAATGAATTTGGAATGCCTTAATAAATTATTATTTTAGAGTAGAATAAACCTACACTCTACTTACAATATGTATATTTAAAATCTACTTACGTATTAAGAATTACTAACGTTAATAATGTAAGAGATATATGAATAGGAATTGTAACTATCTAAATGTTTTAATCGTTTAACCGTCTAACCGTGTTAACCGTTTAATTAATTATGACCAACATAATTCAATTTAGTACTATGAAAACAATTTTAACATTTAGAAAAATAACATTTAAAAATCCTGCTATTGGTCTTGTGAAAGTTATTGAGTTTGTATTTGGGAACCTTGCCATTAGTTTTGAAAAAGCCAATTTTGTAACATAGGACAAGTTTGGAAGATAGCATTGGATTAACGATATGAATAATTTTATATGTTCGCACTATTATTATTGGTGTTATGCAAATAAATAATAATGTCTCGTACAGAGAGACATTATGCATCTAGAGCTAATATTTTTTAACATCAAACTTATGCAATCCAGTAATTATGTTTTTTTTTATTATATAGGTTTTCCTCTAAACTCTGCTTACAGCTCTTAGAATGATTGCAGTTAAAAAAAAAACAGTTAAAGAAATACTCGATGAATGTCTTCTAGCAACTAACAAGCATCAATACTTTTAACTAGCGTACCACGTGCGTACCTACAATAATGACGTACAAGATATATGAGAGTACAAAACATCCAAATACAGATATTAAACAAACTTGCAGCAGTATTTAAATTTGCGTTATTAATTTAATTAACATTAATTAATAATAATTTACAGTAATTTATAGTCTGCAGAATTCTCATTACATGTTATTTATGATATATATTGCTATAGTTATGTATAAAAGCAAAAATGTGTATGATCCTGTCATTAGCATCAAATTCATTCTAAAAAAGACAAGACCATTTACTTTGTTTAAAACACAATAAATTAAACGAGCGTTTTAACATATTTTTACAAAAGTCTTATTTTACAATTTACGTACGTATCTACGTACATACATAGATGACTAAGTAGGTTACGAAATTTATTCATTAATTATTTCATGATCTACAAGATTCATCCGAGAAACTTCTTGTCTTGGCAAACGATCGCATGAAACTTTTAAATTATAATACGGTTGTTCACTCTTTATTTCCTGTTAACATTTTTTGAACCTAATAGAAAATTATCATACATTATTATATCCTCTCAATGTCATTTAAAATGCTATGTATTTTATACGTAATTTTTCTTTCAATAATTATTCAATGTATTGATTGCGAATATGTGACTCGTGATTCAAAGGACCTCATTGAAAGAAATACAAAAGTATTTCCAAATATGCTTGAAATTGTAGAGTTCAAATGTGATAGTAATAATACTGCACTCTGTGGTAAAGTAAGAGATGCATTTGAAGTTGCCGGCCTAATGATTTCAAAAGCGTTCAAATTCCATGCTCCAATCTTAGTAAATGCTTCATTTATTGATTTTTGCAACAACTTTAACGTATGTGGAAAATCTCAAGACGATGTTCCAATTGGTATGTTATTAAATCTCTGAACTTCAAAGTTATAATGAATCAATAAATCGATGAACCATATGTATTATTATTGTTTTTTTTTTTAAAAAAAAAGGTGGTGCCAAACCATCTAGGTACATCCTGATGAAAGACGATGATCGTATTGAAAGGCTATATCCACAAGCACTCGTAAAACAATATAAAGTAAAAACATGTCCTCAATTTGCTCCTTATGATATTAAGGCTGATTTTAATTCCGCAGCTAATTGGTGGTTCAAATCTGATGGTCAACCAATTCAAGGGAAACAGAGAGATTTTATTGAAATTATTCTGCATGAATATTTTCACGGATTGGGCTTCAGAAGGTAAACTAAATATTGGATTACATATAAAAACAAAAAAATCCTATGAAATAATATTAATGTTTTAAATTTTTAGTAATTGGGATGATTGGTCAAATTCTCAAGCTCTATACCCATTACCAACTTTTCGACCGGATCCACAGAATTCCAGTTTATTAATATTTGATGGATTTAGAGAGACCGTTTTCGATAAATACATAATACTACTTCCATGTGGACAACATATATCAAAATTTAATGCTCAATTGAACTTATTTGCTGGTGGACCTGGCGCAAGGTTTCAAAACCAATCTGATTTTGATTTACAATTTCGTAATTCCACTCAATATAATCAAATTGCAAAGAAAATGTTTAATATTTCTCAAACTGCAAAATCACTGGGATTCCTACCTCATCATAAGAAAACTAAAAAATCTAAAAAATCCAAGAAAATTGCAAAAAATGCTGTCATACTTGAAACTAGTTTAATACCATACATTCGTGGTTCTAGTATATCTCACGTGGATTTTAAAACTTATGTAAATACCAGCGATTTTTTGATGAGATATAGCAATAATTGGTTAGATACTTTGGATGGATGTGTGTCTAAAGGTGGAAATTTCTCTGGTGGACCTATTGGGCCCCTTTTAAGATCAATTATGGAAACACTTGGGTATGTTTAAATCTATTTTTAAGCTTATCTTTTATTATAAACATAGCATTAAATCATTATGTTATTGACTTGTAGATATGCAACTGCCCATTATCCAAATCCGTACAAAGCTACTTTTGTTAATAATACAAGAGGTTATATTTCTGCAGACTCGAATAATATTATAACTCCATTTAGCTAAAGTACATACAAAGTAGTATAAGATTGGTTTATTTTAGACTTTATTTTAAAATATTAATACTAATTGGCTATAATATAATTATTATCAGGTTTGGATTACATGTGCCGGATTTTATAAAAGTTTCTAAAATAAAATCAATAAAATTTTTGGATTTTTATAATAGTTAATAAAATTTTTAATATTTTTTGTTTAAAAATTTATATTTTACTTTTTTGAACAATTTTACTTATTATACAAAAATTAATTTGTTTAGTAAACTTTTAATTTTTATATATAAATCTGTTATAAAAAAAGAAAATAATAGGTTAATTAATTAGATTTTGAAATTTTATAATAATAGTTGCTTATAAGTTTTGATTTTTTAAAAACATTTTTAGTTTATAAAATTTACTAATATAAAATGTAGTAAATTTAAAAGTTTTTGTCATTAATATATTAAAAATTATTATATAACATCTTTGCTAACATTTTTTTTTTAAAATAAAATTTTTTTTTGTTTTCACTAAGGTTGATGTTTATAGTAGTTATTATCTTTATTGTGATTTTAATTATACATTACATATAACTTGTATAAAAATAAGCATGCAACTAGCTACATATGCAACTTTTGGTTACCTATTTTAAATAGTTTATTAAAAGTTTTACAATAGTTGTTATATCTGTAATTACTAAAAAATTATTTATTTTTAGTAAACAAGTAGAATAAAAAATAAATTTAATAAGGCATGGCCTTACCATTAATATTTAAAAAAAATAAAAAATAAATTTAATATCAAAATCAAAGTTAGTAAAAACTAATATAATATAATATTATAAAAAACAGTTTAAGAAAAAATGTACAGGTAAACTTCTCTAAATACATATCATCAGAATCAGATTTAGAGCATATATTTAGAAAAGGTTGCAATTAAAAAACACTAATAAAATTATAATATGACTATTATTATAGTTTTAATAATTTAGAAATAATGAATTTAATTAGTTAGCAATCATATAAACGCATTTATAGAAAAAATTTTTATAAATAAACTAAATAATTAATATGCACTTATAAAATTAAGAACATGTATTTATTTATAAATTTTGCTATAAGTCTAGACTTATATTATGCATTTAAAGTAGTAATATATTTAGAAAAAATGTGTTTAGAAAGTCTAACTATACTAAACTAAAAGAGATGCAGAAAGGTAAAAAGAAATATACAAGTTACAAAAACATGTTAAAAAAATATATATATATAAATTAAAGATGAAATTAAAGAAAAAAATAAAAAAAAAGTATTAAGATAACTAAAAAACAAAAATGCTTTAGATATATAAAATATAAATTATATATTAATTAAACAAACAGAAAAAAAATATAAAATGTATTTAGAATTTTTATAAATCTATATTTAAAAGTAGAAAAAAGAAGATAGCAATTCTGGAGGTGTAGCAACCTAGTGAAGTGGATAGGTTGTTAACCCCCAAGTGGCAGGTCTAGAGTTCAAATCCCAGTGATGGTGAAAATTTGCAATTCTTTCTGTGTTATAGCTAACTGTC